CACAAAACAAAGAGAGTGAACTAGAAATGGCACAGGACTTCAAACTCTTAAAGCCACATCGAGAGATACTTCTTCCCACTGGGCTATACTTAAGAGAGAAAAATTGCATATGCAGGCCGACTTTGTTCATTCAAGGGGTGGGTTAATACTGTGAAAACACTTCAAGTGCATAGTAATTCCTTCTAAATTTTTGTGACTTAAAACACCTTAGATTACAGTGTGATGTTTTGTGGAAGCTGTACAGCATTATGCCAACATTACTTGAAAGGGTAAATAAGAATAGTTAAGTTTTTTAATGAATGAATGAAGAAAAATGTGCCATTAGGACTAAAATGACATTGCAAAACTACAAATAAATGACTGTGTAGACAAAAGAGTGCAGTAATATTGTACTCATCCTCTAGTGACATACAGGATAGGTTGGTAACAGCTGCAGGTTGGTGGCCTCCCCTCGTGGTCCTGAATGAATACCACACATGAAAATGATTGGTGTGCATCTGGAAAAAGGCAAACAACTAAAAAGCTTTATGAAAATATATTTGATCTGAAAGGTAGTTTTCTATCTCAACAAAAATCATAAATTCAAGTAAAGGGTTTTAAACTTCTCTAGGTTGAAACAGATACCTAAATCTATTCATCTGTCTGTCTATGTATCTATCTACACATGTTTACACATATATAAAATGAATAAAATTGAAAGACAAATGAGAAACAGGAAAATATACAATAAATCAATTCTATCTAGCTCTAAATGCACAACTCATAGAAAGAAAGATGATTAAGTGCCAACAACCCCAGTGGGGTAATAGGTGAGATGTCAAGGCAGTGAGTTCACAGGAGATACCCAAGTGGGCACTAAACCAAGGGTATTCCCAGACCCATGTTCAATTTAAAGCATTTCCCTTTGCAGCTGTAAACAATTTGCTTTTGTGTAAGCTCAGTGTCAGTGGTGGTGTGGGTCAGCTGATCATAGCACTCTCAGTGCTGATGTAACACAAGCATTCTGGAAAGTCATTTGGCAAACAGGTATCAGAAAAAAACGTCCAGTGACATTTGTCCTGACTGCAATAGTAGAAAATTAGTGTCAACACTGGTCTGCCGAGGGAACCTGGTTAAACAGTTACAGCAGCACAGTCATACAGAAATGTGAGAGTTTGAAACAGAGACTTTAATGATTGACAAAGGGGACACAGTACTGCAGACTATTAATTAACAAGCATTTTCCTCTATCACTGAAGGAATGTCAATATTTTCCACATCTTTATATTTCATATATTGTCTTAATTTTCTA